TTGGCGGAGCTCCTCCGTGATCTCCATGTTGCTCAGGTCGCACTCCACCCCGCCATCTGAATCGCTCTCCGTCTCCTCCTCCTCGTCCTCCTCCTCCTCTTCCTCGTCCTCGTCCTCGTCCTCCTCGGCCGACTCTTGGTCTTCTCTGCCGACGTGCGGGTGCTGCCCAGACCTTGGAGGATGCGAGTAACCGCAGTGAGGGGACGCGGAGTCCTGGTCAGAGGAGGCCCGAGGCGATCGGCCCTCCTGGGCATAGGCGCTCTGGGGGTGAGCTGCGGGAGGGAAGTACCATGGGAAGCTGAAATAGGCCGCCACCGCCTTCTGATAGGCATTCTGGTGGCTTCGCATCCAAGCCATCGCTTGATAGTAATGCTGCCAGTATCTTGCATATACCGGATGGGAAGCCCAAGACTCGGTAGTTTTCGACGATGCCGCCTACAAAATAAGGGGAGGGGGAGGCTAGACGCTACAGTTCACCCTCAGCAGAAGTGTATACTCACCTAATCGACACGGACTGACTTACTATCTGCTCAAACCCGACTCTACAGTAGGGTCCTACTGGGTCAAAGAAAAGATGACAGGTCCATGCCCATGATGGTCACCGAGTGTACGCATACTTGCTCTAAAGTACGCGTACATGAGGTACGCACAGGACAATTAATTTAAGGTTATGGCCGTTAAAACGTGGCTCATTTTTAGATAAGATGCAGGGAGAGCTGAGGACCCAACGTCCATCATCTCGGCCGCAACTACCCACTGTAATTAGGCGCCTAGTTCCAAGTCACCCACGGCCCGCCAAGGACCACACAGACTAGTGAGTGTGATGTTCCGCCGTCCCGCCCTGCCTGCCGGCCCGGCCCGCTCCCCAGTGCCTGGGACGAAAGATGGGGAGCTATGCGCCCGCTGGTGCTTTTACTTTTCATTTCCTGATGTCTTTCTCTGGTCTTCTCCATCATAGAACAAGAACACCGAGGCTTTAAAGACTAAAATTTACTTTTTTCTCTTATGAGTTAAGGAAATAAATCTTACCTTTGCTTCCATCTCCGACTGTGAAAATCCAAGTGGGCACCAAAACTAGGAAAGAACCATCACAGTGCAAACATCTGGTCAGTACAGCTGTGTCATACTGGTGGCTATTTTCTGGTTTGCAAAGCAGCTCCTCAGAGGCCACCTCTTCCCAGTACTGTGCCTGGTCCTCACATAACTTACCACCAGGGGACCCTGCACCTGAGCATGACCTCGTGGTCTGAAAAGGAGGGCTCCCCTTAGGTATGACTGAGTGGCCCAAAGGACACTCCCGTTTTCAAGTACTGGTTTCCCTATTTTTTTTAAATCGGCATGAAAGACACCCAAGATGCCCCCACGAGCATAATGGTCATGACTTTAAAACGCACTGACATCTAGAGATTTCACAGAACTTGTTTCCCTATTGAAAGTAAAGTCCACGAAGAGAACCATACAAAAAATAGCATACAGAGCATGAACTAAAATTGACGACTATTATTTTACTTACCAATCCTTAACTCATGCCATTGCCTATTTAAATGAACCCTGGATGTCCCCAAGGCCTGAACACAATACAGTACCTCTCACCAACGCACTGGAAACTGTCACTGCATCTTGCCTTAGGACTGGGACTCGGAGAAACCTCCCTACAGTAGCATCTCTCTAGCCCGGGTTGTGCCCTGCACTTGAAGTCTCCCAAACAGACCTTATTTTGGCTTGGATTGCAATGAGCCATCCCACAGCCAGCGTGTGACAACGCGCTCTCCCTGTCTAACCACTCTGTCTTTACAGGAGGAGAAACTGCTCCATGGAGACGCTCCACCAAGCCAGCATGTAGAACACCCTTGCCCGACAGCCTCGCTCTGCCCAGATTCACTCCTCCCCGCCCCCGCCTACCTGCCTGTGATTTACCCACGTGGCAGGAAATACCTACAGGGAAAGTTCAATCTGCAGCTGCGCCTTTTACAACCTTTTAAAAACAGACTTTTAATATTTTTCCCTCCTGTTCAGGAGTTCAGAGCCACTAAAATGCCAGCCTACACCAGAATGTACTCTAAAAAGTTAAATGAAAATAATATCCTAAAATGCATGGGAATTTAAGCATCTGTGAGACGAAACCTATTATGCACCGTGATGCTGAGCAGTTACTTAGGGTTTGAAACTTTGGAAATCAGACACTGAAGGGGTCCTATTTTTCCTAACTTCCCTTAATTGCAGGGTAGAATTTAAAGATCTTCAAGCCTTAAGCAATAAATTTGACCTATTTTATAATCTGTATCAGATGTTTTGCTACGGTTAATGTTGAAAATTGAGATATTAAAACGACCACTTGTTTGAAGATTTAGCCTAAAGAGAACCATTCACATTCTTTTTAAACATAAGCTTTCAAATACGGCATTCCAAGAGGGCTGACATGACCTTCTGTAAATTTATCTTAAACATAGCTCACACTTCCTGTACACTGTTCTAAATTAGGGAACACACACACACACACACACACACACACACATGCAGTGAATGTAAACAGAAAAAAAGTGAACAAATGCAATGAAAATATAAATACAAATTAAGTGTACATTACATTTAAACTATAATTTGAAGGTTTAAAACATGAGCAATTATCTGAAAACCTGGCTAAGTGCTATGTGCTTTACAGGCTCCTGAAGAAATATAAAACAGTCAATACAATCTAGGGTCTGACCAGCCAGAGAAGTAAAACAAACACAAATGAAATCATGGAAGAAATCAGTCCACACTTGAGCGCTGAACTGTAAGGTGTGACCTTTAAGTGGCTAATTCGCCTCCGCCAGGTTGCATCTGTCACTGAAAATCTGAATAGCTTTCTGAGTCTGCAGCACACAATGACATTAAAGTGAACTCCGTGTGCGTCTTAATCAAATTTGTTTTAGAGATTAACAAGTAGCATAAGAAATACATTAGAAAAGGCTAGGAGACATCTGTGTGTCTTCTGGAGATGAAGAGTTTTGAATTCAGACTTCAATGCCTTATAAATGTACTTAGAACCAGATTAACGTGAATATTAATTCTCCCAAACTGGAAAGTCTGACAGCCTCAAATATGCAATAAACGTTATTGTGATTGAATGCTACTGTAGACCGCAGAATATCCTGTTTTTATTTATAACTGGGAAACACCAGCCTGCCTTTAATAGTAGTAGTACCAATATTCTGAAAATGCACGAGATGCCTTATGAGAGGCTCCACTTGGCAGAGTGAGAAATGTAGGCAGATGCGATAAAGTAGGCAACTGTCTGAGAAGTTCAAGTGTACTCCATTTCGTACGCCAGGCTGCTCAAATGTCAATGGCTGTGATTTAAAAGGGGGAGGGAGCACTAATTTGAGGAGCGGTTACTTATTTACGCCTTCGATTCAACAAATAATTTGATAGAAGGGCTGCCATGTTACACTGCCTCAGAGATCACACAAGGCACACTCTGAGCACTTCTGCAATCAAGAAGCCAGGACAATGAGCTGAGATGACTGAACAAAGCCAATTCCAGCATTTGGACCAGAAGCAGCTCTGTTTCAGCCCAGTGTGCCAACTCCCTATAAAGTAAATCAACCAGTAGATAAAGTATATCTATAAAGTATATCAAGTAATCAGCTAAAGCACTAGACTCTTTGAAGACCCAGGTCGTTAAGGAAAGATGAATTCATATTAATGATGGGATACGGGCAACCATGTCATCAATTTCAGTCTGATTACACTTTCTGCACTGTCTTGGCCACTGGGACACTTATAATAGAGTCTGTTGCCATCCTCCAGGAAGTTTACAGCCCTGGAGTTGTATGTCAAATATGCTCATTTCATCTTTGGCTTTATTTTCCCTCTTCAAGTTCCCCAAACTATGTATTATATCCTTTTGCATTTTAAGTAATTTTAAGATTCCTAACATCCTATAGTCAACTAAAAACAGTTCCTGAGAATGAATAATCATCTCTCAAAAATCAAATAAGATAAAGTATAGAAAAACATACCTAAAAGGAGAGCAGCTTGCCTAGAACTTCATGATTATTATTAGCTCCCTATTTCCAGGATTTATTTCCTGATATTTTATGCCAGCAATTTTTTCTGTGAAGGGCTAAACAGTAAATATTTGGAGCTTCTGGGCCACATACAGCCTCTGGCCCATATTCTTCATACTCTTAAAAAAAAAAACTTTTAAAATATGAGCAACTAATTGTCTATTATATTTCAATAAAGCCAGGGGCGGGGGGGAGGAGAAGTGAACAATTTCCAAACAGGGAAAAAAAAAAACCTTTAAAAATGTAAACACCATCCTTAGCTCCCGGTCAGTACGAAAAACAAGCTGAGGGCCATTTGTCCGCCGCTATTTCACGTTAACATATCATTAAGCTGTACAGACTCTGCCCTCAATATGCTGAGCATCCTAATTGTTCCTCACTTTCCCCTTGGAAATCAGTGGAGAAACCTCGAGATTCTCACACTTGGAATAGGACTAGTGGAAGCAAGAGAACTGGGATTATGACCAACAGCAATCTTGGTGACCAATTCCTAATATTTGGGATAAAAGAAACATGTCCATGATTTAAAGCAAATTGGACCGTTTCTTAAAGATCTACATAGACATTTAAAGACTTAAGAGTCTACGGCCATGCCACCCTGAACGTACCTGATCCCGTCTGACCCTTGCAAGCTAAGCAGGGTCAGGCCTGGTTAGTACTTGGATGGGAGACCACCTAGGAAGACCAGGTGCTGTAAGCACAAAAAATAATAATAATAAAAATAAAAACTTAAGGAAAAAAACCCCTGAACTCCCGCAAAACTGTATCAATCGACAGTGCTTAGAACGTCACATGCAGTGCCATGATTTCTGATGGAGACCCCACCAGCTGCCATGTGCTAGACAGTGACCCAACAAGGACGGGAAGCAGGAGAGAGTCCCGAGTGTCTATTCCCTGGAAGAAGGAAGCCATACCCTTTCCTGCTACCGCATCACCGCCCAAGGGAAGGTGAGTCTTGTTAAGCTTTTCAAAGCTGGTTCCTCTTTCCACATACAATGCTTAAGGGCCTAATAAAAAAAAAAAAGGCCGGGGTTTCTGAGAGACCAACATGAATTCTAGACTTACAGCAACACCACCATGTGACACCAGCACGATCTCAAAGAAAAGAAAGCTTACGGTCACAGCAGACTTAGATGTCCTTTCAGTGGTCTTTAATTTTGTATTTCATTCCCCACCTCCCTAGGAGAGCCTCCTACTCTTTTCTGGCACACTTCGTGGATTGTGCGGCAAGTGTCTTCCTAATGGATGATGGAGCTGAAAGAAAAGAGACTGGCAATGTCAGGGCAGGCCGAGATCCACAGCACTACCCAGCTGAGCCCAGGCAAGTACAGTGGCTGAATTCATTGTCTGTCTTCAATCTGTAGAGAAGGAAGGAAAAAAACAGCATTGAGGTCATTCGCTAAACACTGCCGAGGCCCAAAGGCAAAACAGGGCTTCTGAGTCTTCAGTGATATATTTTCCCATAAAGCCTTTTGCAAAAAAACGCACCGATTCTTCATCGAATCTGCTTATCCTGGGAGATACGCTTTTAAATGCATAAATATATATGAACGATGACAGGCAAGAGCTTTGTGGTTTTCAATGGATCCACTGTGACTATTTCTGTCAAGTTATTAAAAAGAATTCTACAGATAAGTAATGCGCTTAGTTGAAAGGCAGTGACGATGCATATCTTCTTTTCATTGCATATTTATATTCTTATAAATATAAGATCTAGGATATGTCAGAGCAACCGGATAAATTAAAAAGTCACAAATTCCCTTCAAAATGATAATGTAACTGGATTTTCCTCTCCATTTTCCTTTTCCACTAGAATTCGGAAAATGGAATACATGAAAACGCACATGCTTTGAGTTTTGCGTGGACACACACACAAAGTCAGCCATTAAATAAAGTATGCTGGTTAAAGCCCTGTAAGAACCTTTCCTGTTAAGGCTCCCACCGAGTTGGTTCTCTGGGCCAATCAGATAATTTGGGGGATCTAATTAGGCCTTCAGTACACAGTTTCAAGGTAGAAGGAAGGGGGTCTGCTGGAGATTGCTCAAATGAAGGAAAGTACGGTGAGAAATCTGAATAACGTAAATTGAGTCACGTGTGGTTCTTAGCAATCTCTGTAAGTGCAGTAACAACCCTATCGGAGAAGATGTCTTCCGATAACGCACACACCCGTAGGAACTTCCTCAACTAAGATAGATGACGAAATGAGAGTTTTTTGAGAGCACTGCTTCCTGTCCCCCACTCCCCGCAGCTGCATGATAAGGCTGGCAAGTTCGTCTGCCTTGATGCCCTCGTGGGCTCCCTCCTGTGGCTTCGCATGGCTCCTGCTTAATGATCTGGACATCAAAGACGGGTCAAGTCTGAAGGGCCTTTTTCCACCTTCAAGTCCAAGTTCCACCTTTTGGCTGGACACGGGCCTCCCACAAGTGCGCAACCTACTGTGTGTTTAGAAGGCCCACACCTCTCCACTGTTAAAACCGATGGGAAAGGAAGCCCCCGAACTGTTTCATTTTCTTTTCATTCTCTCGGCTCCAACCTCCAATTTACTCTCTTCTGGATGTTGCAATAAGAAGCGAAACAAAGTTACCTCTGACTCATGCACACGACGGGCAATGGGAGAGCTGAAAATTGGGATAACTGAGAGGGACATAATAATAATACAACTCAAAGAGGAAGCAGATAAGGATCGCTTCTCTGCAAGTATATCTTTCATACAGCAAAACCTAGTGTGACCGTAAAGGAATACGGTTAAACGGGCAGTAATACAAGTTAAAAAGCTACCAGCAAAAACCATGACCAGTTTAAAGTGGTTAAGACCACAAGGAGATTTCAGGCACCTTCTTTCAAATTTCACTTCTATAAACGCATACACGGTAATTCCATGTTAATCTCTCTTCTCTGAATGCATATGGCACTCACTGTGCCCCATTCATTTGGATATTTAACCAATTACTGGTAGGCGTGGATTCTGCAATCTATTTCTTTTAAATTTCCTGTTTTCCTTCTAGCATAAAAATCATAGCTAATATTTCCTGCCCTTGGATGCTGTTGAGATTGTTTCCTGATAACTCTCTCCTCCTACCTCTACCCTCCCTAAAATCACAAATAACTCTGACTACAAAGCTCCAAATCTTTTCAGAAAGGAGAAATACATTGTTTCCAATGACTTTTTCAACTCCTCTGATCTTTGAGCAACTAAGTTATACATTTTTCACCTGTTCACTCTTTTCACTGTTCTCTAGCCGGATTTCCTACTGTACAGCAATAGTTCCGCGGTTTCTGCAGCTAGTTAGGAAACTCTCCAACCTCTACTGTAGCCTTGCTTGTTCAATTTCCACTCCCATCCTTCTCATCTCGCCCTATTCTTCAACGGTGGATTCTAAAAAACCACAATAACCTTTCACCATCTGAAAAAAATGAAAAAGTTTTAGGATGAAAACCTCTCTGGAGCTGTAGTTTGTATACTTTCCCAGCACAGCAATAAACACATGGGGAATTTGCACACCTTACTGTGAACCTGCCTTCAGTCACGCCTATCCGAAGTTACTAACAATCTTTTAAAGCATACAGTTTTGCGTTCGCATTGCCATCCCAAAGGGACTGTTACAAGTGTAAATTGCATTTTTAAAGGTTATGCTACCCCGCGATTCATGGAAACCCGGAGAGTGAGTAACCCCAGAAGTGTTCTTGGTGTTATTAATCTTTAGTCTGGACTTTCCAGTAATGTCGTCTGCCTTCAGGCGCAAAACAGCTGAATACAGAACCCAGCCTGTGAAACAACTTTAGAAATCATTCTCGAAAAAAATGAAGTTGTTCAGAACCACCTGATCTGTACTAAGGGACTCTCTAGATTTCAAAGCTAAAAGGTAGTTCCTTGGCTACTGGTTCAACTCAATTACTGAGAAAGAAAAGTGGGCAAAGCCATTCTCCACCTCCAAAGGTAAGGCTCATAAAAGACCGCAGATGCAAATGCTCTCTAGACAACTTCCATCAAAACCCCTAACCTCCCACGGAGGTCCAAGTGCGAGGGAAAAGAAAGAATACCCCAAATCTTAAGTAGACGGGCCAATATCCTAAACATCCCTCTAAGGATGAGGCCGCCTTGGGCGACCTTCTGTTTAGATACTGGACCGGATGGGTGAAGTTCACCTTCCAGACCTAGCTTATCGCATGTTCCTGGCACATAAGAACCACATGGGGAGCTATATCCAAAATACCGATGCCTGGGCCCCACTTCTGGAGATTCGAATATAACTGGGACGGGGGCCCAAGCATCAGAATTTTTAAAGTCATCCAGTGATTCTGATACGGCAGAGCAGAGAGCCCGTGGAACCAGTCCCTTCTCACAAATAATCAGCAATGATTAAGGACTCTCTTGGGCCTCTGGCCCCACTTTTTGCCGCCGGATGATAATTCCGACAACGTGGTACCCACACCCTCGGCTCTCCGGGCCTCAGAGGAAGCCAGGCTCCGCGGCCTCCAGGCTCCACCTTCACTTCCCAAAGAACACCCGGCCGTCCCCGGAGTCACCTCGTGGGCGCGTAGCTTGCAGGTCCTGGGTCGCGGGCTAGCAGGGACCTATTCCAAGGTGGGGAGACAGAAGGCACGTGAGGGAGGGAGATGTTGCTGGGGCGACTAGAAGTGGGCGGCCGGATCTGGTCACGTGAGAGCTACGCGCCGGAAGTCCCGCTCTCGACGCGGCCTACGCCACTTCCGCACCGCGTTCTGCACCACTCAGGGGACGCACGCGGGATTAAGATCCGCCTCCTGGGCGGAGCGTGGGAATTTCGGACGGTGGGTGGCGGAGGCGCGGGACTTGGGGTAGAGCTCGGCTGGTGGCACCAGGGCGGGGACACGGACCCCCCCTCCCAGGTTGGGCGGTGGTGTCTGCGCCGACGGGTGTGGCGGGGCGGGAAGACGAGGGTCGTTTCTGCAAGACCTCTGTCCCCACAACAGCTCCTTGACTTTTTGCTCTTCTCTTAACGGAGGATGGTCGTGGCTCAGGAGGAAACGGCTCGGCGGCTTTGGAAATAGTCACTCAGATCTGAGTTTGAGTTCCATTCTAGCGCTTAGTTTATCAACCTCCCCTAGCCTTGGGTTCTCGCTCATAAGATGTGGATAATGATACCAAGTGCACAGTGCCTGGTGCTTTAGTGAGAGCAGACAAATAAACAGTGCCTAGTAACATTTTTACTATCACAATCAGCATCCATAATACTCGCCCTGTTTGCGTGGCGGAGGATTAGTTAATACGTATAAACCACTCAAAGTCTAAGCGGCATATTTTTTTTCTGGAGTAGACAAAATATGGCAAGAGCCCTAAAAGGGGGCATAATTTTGGCTTAGAATTTTCACTTCTGGGAATTTATTCCAAGGAGTAACAGGTGTAAACTGGATGCTCATTGGAGTTATTTGAAGAAGGGAAAAACGAAACATGCTCAATAAGACATAACTAGGCTAAATTAATGGGGCAGACGTTATTACCGTGCCATTCCTATACTACAGAAAACTCAAACAGTACAGAAGAATTAACTTTAACAAAGATGTGCTGGTGCCTACTACCTTCAAGTATTATTCTATACCTACAGTGTCCATTGCAGTCGCCAGCCACATGTGGCTGTTCACAGCTTGTAATGTTCGCAGCTTGCGGTAGCTGAACTGAGATGTGCTTTAAGGGTCAATTACACGGTGGATTTTGAAGAATTAGTATGACACAAAGAATATAAAATATCTCGTTTTTAAATAGTGATGACATGTTAGAGAAGGGCCGTTTAGGTTAAATAAAAGATTAAAATTAACTTCACCTTTATCTTTTGACTTTATTAACGTGGCTACTAGAACATTTAAAATGATATGTGTGGCATGCATTATATATTTATATGTGTATCTATTGGACAGTTCATCGCCAGATATACAGTGGTGAACAAGACAGTTTTTGACCTCATAAAGTTAACACTTGACTAGAGCAGAGACGAACAGATAATATAACCACACATCGTGGTAAGTTATATGAAGAAAATCTTGCAGGGTAAGGGCCAGAAAGTGCGTGTATATCGAGGGGAATTATTTTAGACAAGAGTCTCCCTCCACTGTTTGGAAAATGGATGTGGGAGGAAAGAGATATCCATGGCTAGAATGGGGGGGTGGGGTGGGGAATGGTAGGAGTGTGGTGTCTTCTGGGAAAAGTCAGGTATGAACTGAAGCCGATACATAAATTGGGGCCTGGTTGAAATCTCTGCCTTAGGGAAGAAACTGCTTCAGGGGAGAAAGGAAAGAGAAAAGAAGAGGGGTAAGATACCAAGGAGAAAGAGCTGAGGGGGCCCCTGGGAAAGGCAGAACAAAGCGGGCCTAGAGTGGATCCGTAGAGCAGTTACTGGAGTACTATGAGTACATGTACTGTAGTGTTATGAGCGTGGTATATATTCTGTCTCTCAGGTGGTAGTGTAGGGGAGATCCACCAGGCCAAGGACTCAAATTCCACCTAACTTGTAGCTTCGTGCCCCTTGGTTTGTTGCCTTGACCCACGTGGCCCAAGGTGGCACATCACTGCACCTTCCTTTCAGCCAGTGGGAAGAGAGAAAGGGGAAGCCAGGGCCTGGCCCTTCCCTCTAAGGTAGGGTAAATTCACCATCTTGGCACAATTCACATTTGAAGCGGCATAATCTCTGTTTTGGAGGCTCTCTTTTGCGTTGTAGGATGTTGAGCAGCATCCCTGGGTTCTACCCACTAGATGCTAGTAGCATCCTCCAGTTGTGACAACCAAAAATGTCTCCAGATATTGCTTCATGTCTCTGGCAGGGTGGTGGGTATGGGGAAGGTGAGGCAAAGCACCCTGGTTGAGAACCACTTCTCTACGGCTACCATTCCATAGTCTCAAACATTATTATCTCTTTAAGGGTACTACTCAGGAATCTCCAACAAAACTTTTGCTTAAATCCCACTAATGGCCAGAGGCTTCTCACTGGGCTATCTTAAGGGGAATGGAGTCTTGGAATTGTCTGCTGGCCAGGTACCCAGTTAACGGTTAGCTAAAGAGTAGGGCAAGAAGCTAGCAGATTCTCATGTCACAGGGAGTGGAAACTCCCCAGCGGATTGAGAAGGTGCTTCTGTTCTTTTCAGCTGCCAGGCTGAGTTTTAGTCATTAATCATTTTAATTCACTTGTGTGAAAATAGTGGTGGTGGGGAACACTAAGCACCGGAAAAGTAACCATCTCTTTTGAAAAGGATGGGCGTTGTTACCACAAAGAACTGACCGGGGTGAGAAATTGGGTTCTGAAATGGAGGCCAGAGAAGGTTGGATATTTTTACTTGTGTTTTGGCGCCATCTGGTGGAAATTTATATATCTGACCATTCCTCACTCTCTTGTCTGGTATTCAATTGATTTGTCTCAGGCATTAACCTCAAATTATAAATAACCCTTATGTGGATTTTAGCAAAACTTTCAAAGGTCCTTGCAGATGAGGAACTCTTTAAATCAGGGTTTCTCACTCTTGACACTGTTGACATTTAGGGCTGGATAATTCTTCGTCGTGGGGGCCGCCCTGTGCATTGTAGGATGTTTAGCAAAGATTGCCAGATCTTCCTTGGGCAGGAAGGCAAAATTGCCCACAGTTGAAAACCATTCCTTTAAACAAAGCCCCTAAAAATCTTATGGTCTAATAAGGCCATATGCCACAGTAATCTCATAGCAGTGTATCCTGGGGGTGGGAGAGGTGTGTCTGAGCGATGGGAAGACAGAGATGGCGAAAACGACACATCTGGCTACAGCATGATGTGTCCTCTTTTTTATACTCTGGAGAACTCTGCTCCTGCTTGTCCCAACAGCTGGAGATGCGATTGATGCAGGGATGCCAAAAAGCCTGGTGATAGGATGCAGAGTTTCTTTAAATCCCATGGCAAAGAAATCTGCAGAGGCCATTACCTAAAGCAGGAAGTAGCACAGAATCATCCCAGACTGTGATACTGGCCCCTCAAGTTCCCGTCCGAGGTGTACAGGAGTGGGAAGCCATAGCTGGTCTTACTGGGCTTTTTGGATCCTTCTGGTATCCCTCTGCCCCCTGAGTGCCGTGGAGAAATGGGTTAGGGGCCGGTCCCCTCGCGTGAGTCAAGGAGGTGGTGCTAAACCACCTGCACAGAGAAGAGCTGAACTTGGACATGGCCTAATTGTTATCATGGACCCCATAGGCATTTCAGGAGCTAGACCGGCCCTCCTGAGTTGTCAAAGTTGGGCTTAGATGGCGGGAACTTAATTCTCCCATATAGCGTAGTCACTGGACATGGGCTCCTGGGAGAGGACATGGCTTTGGGTGAGGTGGCTCTCTGAGGCTGGAGCCACAAGGCCTTCATTGAAGGGAGATCTGGGCCAACCCAGTGTTCACAACACGTGTTACATGTGTTCATTTGCTTCTCCGCATCTTCCACTCAATGATAAAACTCCTTATTTAGTTCTGTGTCAGCAAAACATAGCATACTACATAGGAATACTGGTTCAATGGAATGGGACAATTGTGGTCATTGGGATAGTTGCAAACTTAAATACTATAACAAAAGCCTTCATTATACATTTTCTTGAGATGTGGGAAACTCCCCAAAGATTACTCCGTATTTACATTATTATATTAAATTACGATACTTTTTCAGAAGTAATGAGTCACTATCAGCTGATAATACTAAACAGTACTAAGCTAATATTTAACAGTGTTTTGAATCTTTAGTAGATGAGATTCTTTATCAGTAACTTATAAAGAGGATTGGTGTGGGATAGAGCTAATTTATAAAATATTACTCACAATTCAAGTAAGGTAAATTTCTGCTTAAATAGATGTGATTATAACTCACTAATGTAAAGAAAGTCCACAAAATAGTACCCATTTTCGTCCAGCAGAGGGCACAGCTGTATATAGTTATTGATGGAGAAAAACTTTCAAAAGCAAACAGAAAGTGCATTAATGTCACAGCCACATGCTGTAGTAACATATTTTATCACATATAAATGAATGTAACTATCTGAAGTTCAATAATGTGCTGTCTGTACACTGCAAGACTACACGTCCCACTATTTCACATTGTATTTTAAATTATATCTTCAACAAATTCAGGATTAGGTTAATCTCTAAATAATACTATTAATTTTTACTGGCTAATATCATTTGAGCCTAACAACGTGTAAGGGTTTTTTAGAGAATAATTTCACTTATGGTATGTTTCCCGTTATCTCAAGATATTTTATAGGTCATGACATAGAAGCACACCTATGTATACTGTACAGTGTCCTCATAGTTTAAGAAAAAATCTGGTTAATATCACTGATAATTCACGTAATGAAAATTTCTCCTTAAATAGATTTGATTATAACTCACTGTCTATGTAAAGCTCCACAAAATAGTACCCATTTTCGTCCAGCAGAGGGCATAGCTGTACATAGTTATTGCTGGAGAAATACTTTCAAAAGCCAATAGGAAGTACATTAATGTCACAGCCATGTGCTGTGGTGACACGTTATCAAATGTCATGAGTGTAACCATACGTCCATATTTTGATTGGCATGGGTTTGGACACGATGAGCTCACGTGGTGAAATGGACACAGGCCTGTTCTAGGGAATGGAAGATCTGGCTTTGTCTCTTACTGGTTGTGACACCTTGGTCAAGTAACTACTTCTCAGAGCC